AGCCGCCCCCACCCCGGGGCTCCCGGCGGCCCAGGACGCGGCGTTACTAGTCGCAAGGTGCCTCCCTCGGCAACCCGCTCCCAAAGCGCGGAGGCGCCGCACGAACCCGCACGCGTTAGCTCAAGCCACCAGCTTCGGTAAAGCGCACGCTGGCTCTGAGACCAAGACACGTCTGGACACGCCAGCCGCGCTCGTCGGTTCGTTCTCGGCTGGAGATAAACCCAGAGGGAATGGCTTTGTTCGCCGCCACAGAGACTCAGAGGTGACTTGCTAGGGAGGTTTAGCTTTGCCGGTGACGCCAAACCACGGGGCTGGCCCGCCCACCGCCCGCTCCGGGAAGCGCCACCCGCGACGCTGGGCCCTTCCAGGCGTGGCTGTGAGGCAGCGCCGGGGCCGGGCCGCCCCGGGAGAGCGTCTGCTGGGGGCTTCCCCGGGCTCTGAGCACGGGAGACGAGGCCGGCAAGCTGCGGGAGCCCGGCCCTGTGTGCAGTGGCGAGCCACAGACCCCCACGCAGGCCTCAGAGCTGCTTCCGCAAGTGAAGGCACGCACCGCCTGGAAAGCCGCAGAGCCCCGAGGGGCGGCTAAGCCCTACCTCCTTGTAGGTCCGCAGGTGCCCGGCGACCTCGTAGTGCACCGTCACGGGCCCCGCATCCCGGGCCACGGCCACGCCGGTCTTGGGGTCCACGTGGAGTATGCTGCTGGCCGAGGAGCTCCAGGTTCCAGAGAGGCCTGGGGGGCAAGCACTGGCTGGCACCCAGCTTCTGTGTCTGGCGACGTGGCCCAATCCCGCGTCACTGGGTGACAGCGCCAGGTGCCGCACCAGGGCCGGAGCTCACCCGTCACTCAGGCAGAGGCCATGCCGCCTGCCTCCGCGGCTGCCCCCATCGTGCTCCTGGCGGCGGCTACCTGGCACCACCAGCAGCTGACCAGCCTGCGCCCACAGCAGTGTCCAGCCCCTCACACTCCCCGAGCCTCGGCTCAGCACCTCTTATGACCAGCCCTCTCCTGGAAGGACCGGACCCTAAGCTTGCCCCCCTTTCTGTTGTGGGTGCCGGCCCCTCCCCCCGCCCCCCACTCGCTTATTAACCCAGAGAGCAAGCATCAAGCGCCGAGCTGTCACCAGACAGCACTTCTTGGTTAAAACCCGACCATATTATATACTGAGCACGATAAAGGAACGCAACAGCCACATTCTATTGATGGCAAATTGGATTTGCTTTTCTTTGAAGTCAGCGTTTAATCTCCCTTTAGAATGAATTTAATTAGGTAAAATAAAATAGGGAAGTCAGTTTGAAAGGGAAACTAGGCGGACAACTGCTCGCGTGGCCGGGGCCGACGGGCAGCCCGGGCCGGG